TTATTTGGAATGTTGTACTGCTATCACTTCCATTACATAGTGCAATAATTGTAACATACTCAGGAGCTTCACCAGTGCATTTCAGTGTTATCTAATAATGATTATTATTATAAGTATTAATAAAAAGTATCAATAGCACAACATACTGGTATATAGAACTGGACAATAACTACATCTTGTGTATAAGAGATTATGTCAAGTGAAGATGTGTTATCTACAGTTCTAGGTACTATAGCAATGTGATAAATATATTGACTTATGTACATGTACCTCTTTGATATGAGAATGTATTATTATTAGATATTCCTTCTCCTAATTTATTAACTCCAGTTATAGCATATGTATAACGATGAATAAATAAATTATTATCCACAAACTGATAACTTGTATTATATACTGATACAGAGTCCAATAAACTACCATTATTAGCATCATACAATCTTAGTATGTAATACTGTATAGGTACTCTATCATCAACTGTAGGAGTAGTCCATGTTATATCAATGGTAGAACAGTTGTCAATTGAAGAGTCAATGTTAGTAACTGGTCCAAGAAAACCTAAAACATAAAGAATTAATACAAAGTAAATGAAAATGACACACTTACTAAACCCAAAAGATGATATGTCATTAAACGTTCCTCCATTATTACTTAATGATACATTAACAGTAAATGTATTTAAATTAGTTACTGAACTATTTCCAGTTACAATCATCAGTTGATGATTAACTTGTATTGGTATAGTTGTATTCTTTAATACTGCGCTACTAGTATTCAGTATATTAACTGTTATGCTATTAGGATACTCTCCTTTACACATCATACTGACCTATTGTTTGAATCAATTCGATATATTGTGGGAATAAAGTGAACTGGGTAATTAATGTTATGATAACAGCACAACTGCTTTGTGACATTATTAATGAATTATGCTTACATTACTACTGATATTCAATGATATTAGTTGTCCATCAATTACTGGTACCACTGATACAGGAGGAGTAATGAGAGGAGCTGAAAGATACACTGTGAACATATACATGAAGCCTTAGTAATGCTAACCGGTTTCATAATAAAAACTGATATTATTAGATGAACCTATTCCCACATCATTAATAGGAGAAACTGATACATTATTTAATATACAAGGATCAGGATTAGTAGCTGATATTGTAATATTTGTATTGTTAATAGTAATGTTCACTAATCCATCGACTATATAGTATCCAGTAATAAGTACATTATCCAGTGTATAAGGAGCTGTCCATGTTAATAATACACTGGATCCATTAATAAAGGTATAATCCAGATTACTGATACTATTTAATAGGCCTGATAAAAAAATTAATTAAATGTGTCCACATACAAAATGGGTATAGAATAACAATTGAAAAGTGGGGAGCTAACTAACTGAGCATACTCTAGCTAAAGATATGTATTTTCCTCATTCTGGGGACTCTCCCCGAGGCTTGCCTACACCCTTGCCAAACTAACCTTGTATCGTTAAAAAGACAGTATCACTAGCAACTGATGATGGTGGTGACACTGTAGTAATTACACAAGAAATATTAGTATTATTATTAATATAATATGCTTTAGCAGTTAAAATTCCTCTTAATACTCCACCATGTATTTCAAAAGCTTCATCGTTGAATCCTCTTCCTCTTATTTCATCTCTACTAGCTGGTAAACTATCAACAAGAAAGTTCAACAAATCACCAGTGCCTTCACAAATGATATAAACAGTTGAATTGAGCGTTGTATTAATAGACACCGGCTGAACTGCTATTTCTGCAAAAGAATTGGTAAGAGATAGATTCTTACCTACCTGCACTATGAGTACGCGCTAAAAACAATTGCACTAGCAGAAAAAATAGCTGCATTCTCTGTAGATCTATAGCTATAGCGCTAGTAGCTACCTCCTCTGCATGCATGGTATGCACTCACGTGAGCTGTTTCGTTTGTTCCGTCATAGATGTATAACTCTAGTCATGTTTCAGTTTTGCTTCCCCCTTTTTTCGGGTTCTTTTTTCTACGCCTCCTGTTTATTCAGAGTACGAGTGCCGGTAGGTGTCACTACTGTATCATTATTAACTTATTATTTTACAGAAATAACGCTTCAGCCTGTCTCCATCAATACAACACTCAATTCAACAGCTAATTTTGTTTGTGAAGCTAATGGGGACCTTTTGAATTTCCTTGTTAACAATACACCAGCTAATGAAATAAGAGCCAGAGGATTTATGGATGACACTACTGGAATAAGCGGTGGTGGATCAAGAGGAAATTTAACCGCTAAAGCATATGATATTAATAATAATACTAATATTTCTTGTGTGGCTAGTACTTTGTCTCCACCATCATCAGTTACTAGTGATACTGTCTTTTTAACGATACAAGGTTAGTTTTTGTAAATGGGTGCTTTTAATTACCTTTATCAGGTCTATTGGATAATGTTGGTAATCTGAATCATATTTTTATTAATGGATCCACCGTATTATTAACTTGGACAGCTCCTTATACACTGGATAATGTACCTATCACTGGATACCATATAGTCAATGGATCAGTGAACATTACTACTACTAACAAGAGTATTACATTATCAGCCACTAATCCTGACCCTTGTATATTAAATAATATATCGGTTTCTCCTATCAATGATGTTGGAATAGGTTCATCTAATAATATCAGTTTTCATTATGAAACAGGTTAGCATAATGTATGAAAATTATTTATTTTATCATATTATTTTTAATACAGTAAATTTTTTTTACAAATTTTGCAAAGTTGGCTCCTGTATTTCACTTATTAAACAAAAACTTCTATCTGTTTATGCATCATACATCACAATGTAATGCTAAATTTTGCCAAATCTTAAAGATTATAGTCTTTTAATATTATGGTTTCTTAAATAACTTTTATGTAACAACCTGAGGGCGTAGCCCCCATGCTCGTTGATAATTGATTTCACCCACGTACGTGTGATGTTTAATGTTGTATGGAGAAATAGCCTTAGCAACCACCCGCCCACACTACTTTACGTAAGTGGGTGTGGCTACAGTAAACAAAATGGCGGGTTACACATGGGCGGACAAAGTTAAGAGCTTTCTAACAGCAAGAGAACATAGAGATACATTCTAAAGACTTCTCCAGAAGCATGAGAAGGTAGAGATAACCTCTATAAGTCTTAATAATGATCAAGTTGTACTTGTAAGGTGGTGAAATCAATATTTTTACACTGTCACGCTTGTTGTTTAAATCATACTGGACATAGTACATGTACATTGCACAAAGTGAGTTACTATCAACAGTAGCAGTCAGAAAATTAATTCAAGTTGCTACATGTAGTTGAAGATCAATTAGTTTGTTACTCTGTTGTGTAATACCATAGTTCGTTAAGCCTGGTTTACACTCACCAAAAATGCAATGTAAATCAATGCAAAATTTAAATTTGGCCAATTTTGTGTCAACTTTTGAGCATTTTTGCAAACCTTGCCTTACTCTGCTTTTAAAAGTTATAATTATGCTTTTTCATATCACCACTCATGTTTATTATTGCTATTTTTTGAATTTCAGTTCCTCTTGTTGCTCCCAATGTATCAGTGATACCAGCAGTTAATGAAGAAAGTAATATAACATTAAATATCAGTATTAATGTAAGTTGTAATTTTTGTGTTATGGCTAGTGAATACATTGTTACTTGCTTTTGTTGTACTTACTATCAACAAGATCATAATTTGGGAGTTTTTAGTATTCGTAGAGCAATGCAACTGCCCAACTACAATTACATCACTTAAAAATTATAATTTATGACTATTATGAATGTTAATTAAA